GTTTCCCATAAGTGGATTCCTTTGCTATACTGGCACTCGGTATAAATTGCAGTAAAATTAGAACTCGCTATGGTTATTTAAGGTATCCTGGTGATCAGAATACCAGGGTCAACACCAGAAGGAAATTATGGATGACCTGAATTTTTAGCATTTCTTCTTTCCAGGTTTAGTGTTCCTGCTTTTCATCTCTTTCATTAAAATCCTCTTTTATTACCAGGAGGTCAAATTATATCTCTGTAGAAGTTTTTAAAGCCTTACGGCACTGGAACATGCTTCTAGAGTCCAGATCTTCCATTTTCCATCCCAAGTAAGGATTAACTCTACCTAACGCTTTCCTGATAGTTGTCTGAGTTCCTTTTAGTTGTTGAGACTCCCAGTGGTTGTTGAGGCTTCACATCCATACTGATAGATTTGTCCTACCAGCAAAGTTTCATGTTGGTAATTTACACCTGCTTGTCCTCTTCCTCGTAAGCACAGGGAAAATTGTCTCCTTTTCTCTGGATTAGAAGTCTGTTCTCATCAGCTCTTCTTAAGATGCTGTCTGCTGTGTACCAGTCTTAATCAGGTAAATTGAAAACATTAGAGGCTCCTGGGTACCCGTTCTTATGCCAGAATTGACTCTGGAACTGATGGTACGTGGCTGTATTTATGCATGTATTTATTTTAATCCTGCTTAAACTCCTCACGCTCCGAGTCTTTGTTCACTCTCTTGCCTGTTTGATCCCAATCCAAATGTTTATGCTCATACTTAACTTTAAGTTGTCATCTCCTTAAGCAAGCCTCTGTCATCCTTAATGTCTGCAGAGCTCCAGAGTGACTTTTCATGAATAATCTGCCGTGCTTCTCTCCATCACAGCCAGACCTGGGTCGGAAAGATACAGGGATACCCTCCGTTCTTGCCTGTCAAGTTTTGTGGACGGCGTGGGGGTCATACCACCGCACCTCTGCAGCGAGGAGCTGAAGCAGCAGCAACAGAACTGGATTATATTAATCTTATTGTTACGGTTTCTCAACGAGAAAGTAGCTAATCACTGTGGTTCAGCCAGGCTGCAGCAAGGGGTTGTTGCATTTTAAAGCTGTGAATGATCGTCTGATTGCCTTGGAACTCGGGTGAGAGGTTTAGCCACTACTTAGTTCATCTATCCCATTTTCTGTAATTTCAGTGAGAATCCACTGAAATTATTGTTTAGGTTTATTCTGCCTTTATGCCCACCCCTTCCATATTTTTATGTCATTTTTGTGAATCTGAGCTAATCAAATTGCTTGTGAGTTAGTACCCTCTCGCTGGCAAATAAGCAAGCAAAGGCATGGGAAATTACTTAAGTAATTGTAGTCTGTCCTTGGCAGGTCTGAGACTGTATAGTAGATCTTTTGATTCCCCTGGTCTAAGCTTTAAGTGCTAAGAAAGAAACACAATCTGTAAAGGGAAGAGAAACTTCACTGAATTAATCCAAGCTGCTTCTGGTTTTTATGTACTGGCACCTCTGACTTTGCTGGTTGGTTGTATCTCGCTTTTCCTCCCAGGGTTACACACAGATGCAGTTTTTATTTTGGGATTTTAATTCTTCAACCTAATGTCTCAAATCTCCAGAGATATTTGGGTTTCAAACTCATTTGATTTGTCCAAGTACTCATTCGAGGTGTCTAAATGCTTTCCACTTGGGGCTTCTACTGTTGCGAAACTCTTTTCACGATGTGGTGTGAACTGTTTATATAATTGACCATAACACCCTAATTCTTTCTTCACTAAATAACTGTGGTTGAAAGGTCCTCTGAGAGGATGATGCCTTAGAGACGCAATCCTGATCCTCCAGGAATCGAGGGAACCAGGATTTCACTCGATGAGTTTAGTGTACTAACTTTAAGATTGAATCAGCATTGTGTGTCTCACGTGCAGAAAGCAGGCAGAAAAAAACCCGATGGTACTTAGAGTGCTTGATGTGCTTCAAATTATTTTCCATACATTTAACTAATGACACTAACAGATGATATTTACAGGGGACTTCCACCTATAATTGACCTTCATCTTTTCCTGTGAACTTCCCAGCCTCTCCTTGAATTTTCCTATTATTTCCTCTGCATCATTCCACATTTAACACTGTGTTTCAAGGTGTCCTTTCCTCTCGCTTGGGACCATCCTTCCAGTTCCCTAGAGGTCAGTATTCCCAACTCCTTTTAACTTCATCTTCTCAGCCTGGTTTCGTCGGCAATTTTGGAAATCACGGCATGGACAAACATATCTCCACTTCCAGGACGATTGCTCTTTTCCTTTTACGTGATCATCAGTTCTGTGGAGCAGGAGGGTTTCTGTCTTTTATCTTGTGCAATAAATTGCTTTTCAGAAGTGGCAGCAGCACAGTACACATTTGAGTACCTATATTTTATTTTTCCTTGAAATGTTTACATGTCTGTGTTGGGGCAAGCAGGGGACGAATTACATAAACTGTGAGTCTGTTGAGAGGTTAAAGAAAACTCATGTTTAGAGTTCAGGAGTGTTCCCATGGCTACTAGGACAGGTACATGGCGGGAGGGGGAACATTCTGGCATTTAACAGCCTTTCCAGGTGATTTATGGTTTCACATAAGCTTTTCCTAAACTGAGAGGTTTTCTAGGGTTGGCACCTCTTTGCTTGTCTCCATGCCCTGTTAATTCTGTGTTCAGTGGCCCGTGGTTATTAAAATTCTTATCAATAAAGGAGTTTCTGAGCAAGGTTCTTATTTTCTGGGATCGTGCGTACCTTCTGAACTTCTCAGTTTAACCAAAGGAACATTTTTTTTTTTTTAATGCCTAATGTATTTTATAAAATAAATGTGTAGAGTTCAAGTAATATTTGCCTTCAATTACAGTAATTAAGTTGTCAGGACTTGAAGTCACCAAGGGAATGAGAAAATCTTTTCCTGGTTGGCGGGGGGTAATCGGTGTTCTGGTCGTGAGTACGTTTTACATATCGGGGTGGGGAGGGAAACTTCTAGTTGGCATCTGCAGCAGAAAACCTGGGAGACTGTTTGTCATTTTGCAATACAAGGTGTCAAAATCCTGCTGTGGGGAAAAGGAAGAGGAAAATCAAGGGACCTGTTTAACTCTTGCTTTAGCAGGGCATCGATTTTTGATCTGCGCTAACGCTGTGTGCTTGGGTTGGGAGCTATATCTTACTAAAAGGAGAAACATAGCTCCATCCATTTATTCTGTGGATTCTGTCTTGTCAAAACTTTCACTGTAGCTCCCTTTCCAAACGTAACCTGTATGTATAGAAGTGTGTAGACATACGCTTTTTTCACCCCATGTTCAACATCTCTTTGCAGACTTCTTTTCCAGAAGTTGAGTAGTTCCAGTTACTTCCTAAACTTACCCTACAAGGTATTCCTGCAAGAAAAGCACCTGATTTTTAGAAGTGCCCACACAAACATTACTGGAATCTCAAGTGTAGCGTTACTTTCGTTCCACTGGAATGGCTCTCTTGAAAGCAGATGTATGAGGAAATCGCTACTCGTAATGCATCACTAATGACACAAATTTTTGCATTCCATGTGAGCAAAGCTTATGGAGGCATAAGGAATCAGACCTGCAAAACCCTCCTTACAAACCCCACTTCAGCCAGCAAGTTTAATGGTGCCCTGAAGAGAGCCAGATCACTTATCTACACCATCATGCAATAGTTATAAAGTGTTGAGATAAGTGGGTTTATATCTCCCGGTTTGCTGCTGGCCTTCACCCTATGTATCAATTTATACTGGTGAAACTGGGCAGGACATATGACTGCTCTGATTTTGTCATATTTTATAGTTCCCATACAAGATGCGTGGGTAGAGTGGATGCTGTTCTCTATCCATGCATTTAGGAATGGAAAATACAGCGAAGTGTCTCTGCCGTACCCACCCCGTCTGCCTGTAACCGCCGTGGATTACCTCCCATTCAAGAAGCGTGTTGTAGACCAGATGTTGGGAAGGATTCTACGCAATTCTCACCTGCTCAGCTTTTCCCATCGAGGGGGGTGTGCTTGGTTACTTGCCGTTCGTACGAGGCTTTAAAAAAAGCAATGGAAAATCTGGGACATTTCCAGAAGTCATTTGTGACTTTTGCCAAGCAGAAGGCTGTGCCACGAAGGGTTATTTTTGGGTGTAAACCAGGCTGTATTTCAGCTGCCTTTTGGTGTTGTTTATTTTGCAAGTCACAGATAGTTCAGCAAGTTATGCATTTTCACCTTGTTGCATTTGCTGCTTTTTCAGAGTTAATTCTCTTCGTGCCATACGTAACACACAGCTCCAGAGCTATACTTTGCTTTTTGTTTTATATTTGCTTTCTAGATACTAGACTCTTTCTATAGATCTTCATCTACAGCTAGAGTTCGGCAGCTCTTTACTTTGTGCATGCGGAAGCCTTGTAAGATCTAACCTGTGATGTTGGTTTTGTCATCTGATAACAGATGATCAAATGGAGCATGTTTAAATAACAACATCTAGGACACAATGACAGTAAACCAGCTACGAAACAAACATTTCTAAACATCAGATAAGATGGAAGAGCAATGCTGGATTGCTTCGTATATCAGAAGTTCTTGCACTTTGCTGTAGAGGTGTTCCAGGCATGGGATTTCCTTTCTGCCACAGGCTAATAGATGGTGCTGCATTATTTTTCATGTATCTTGTAGAGACATGTGCCTTTGCAAAGCGAGTGTAATACACCGAGTATGATAGTATTATACATAATCTGCATGAGTTGCACAGGAGTAGGTAAACAGTAAGAAATTCAAAATTCTTACCACCTGCTGTACTGCCACCTCTTCTCCCTAAGCCTACACTATTTTTTTGGATTAAGGGCTGCCTCACTTCTGCCCCAAGTCTATACTTTTACAACTAATTTTCAAAGCACTATTTAAAAAAAAAATTATTAGGTTTTAATTTTTATTCTTTTTAATTTTTTTATTAGTGTGCAAAAAAATAACCTTATGTTCAAAGTCATTATTGCTGACTCTCACTCCTCTCCTCTTTGTTCACCCACAGGAGGATGTTACTGATGCTGAGTCTCAGGAAGAGGAGCAGAGAAACCGCTGGATATCGGAGCCTGCAGACGGTTACAACACAGTGAAGAGTGTTCTCACTGTACAGGAATACTTTGCCAAGCGTATGGCAAAACTGAAGGGATCCCAGAATGAAAAAGAAACAAAGGTAGATGATTCCTGCCCAACAGCTGATGAAGCTTTGGAGCCTTCAGAAGACCTGAAAACCAAAGTCAAAAAGAAAAAGAAGAAGCAGAAGAGGGATGAGGCAGAGAGTATAGAGCATTGCGAGAAACCAAAAGTGAAACAATCTAAGATAGGCAGCTTGAATGGAGAGGAACTGGATGCTCCCTTAAATGGGTGTCACTTGAGGAAAAAGAAAAGGAAACATAAAGAGCAGCACAAAGGGGAAAGCATTAGTTGTGATGAAAATATGGGTGATGGAGAAATTTATATGGGAATATCTGATGGGGAGAATCTCAGCATAGAGGACTCTGAAGCAAAGCAAAAGAAACGCCATAAGAAGAAACACAAAAAGCAAAAAGAGGAGGGCGATGAGTGCATCGAAGGAGCACAGAGAAAGAAAAAGAAGCACTGCAAACACGTGTAACCATTTAAAACTCAGGCTGGGACTCTGAGGTGATTTGGACTTGACTATGTTTGAGGAGAATTCTGTGTAAGCACACCAGCCAGGCATCCCAGTGAAATCCAGTCTGCTCTACCTCCAGCTGAAACACAGACTGTGTTTAAATACAGCTCTCTCAAGGGAGAACACGGTGACGGACCAACATGAGCTTCAGTGCCGTGTCCAAAAGGTCTCCGTGGGTAGGGCCAAGGTTTGCAAAGCAAGACATGATACAAAAGTCAGGCTTTGCCTCTTCCAGGCTGGCAGACGGTTCACCTTGGTGGCTGTGTTTCAACACAGCAGACCCTGGAACAAGTCACCTTTATTATGAAAGCCACTGTTGTCTTCACTTGTGATAGCCCAGCTCTGCTTCTGGAAACAGGAGTTTGGCAAAGCTGTATGTATTTTCCATCGATTTTTGCAGTCGTGTCTTTTTTTCATTGATCTCCTTTTACATATAAAATGGTTGTTGTTTCTTCACAAAATACTTAGTCTAATTAAAGGTTTGTGCCCGAGTGTCAGCACTAAAGAATGGAATAAAAAAATCTCCCTTCGTTTCCCAGCCAGTAGTTAACTACTGTCAAGCAATTGTAACGTTGCAATAAAGCTAAAGGAGCTGTGCCTTTATTAACCATATGTGCATCTTTGGTGCCCAGGCAATGTTCACGGTACCTTCAGGGACACATCTGTAATTCAAAAAGTTGTCTTGGATGGACCAAAGTTTTCTGTGAAATTAGCAGACCAAACTGATTTTTAAAAGCATTAGTATTGCCATTTATACATTGAAAATCTGCAATTTAGATTTATAACCAAATCAGAGCTTGTTTCTGTTTGTAAACCTGGAAATAAGTAATTCTGGAACTCAGCACTACCCCCAGTCGTAGCTTAAACGTTCAGGATGGATTTTGGCATCTCAGTCTCGCTCAGCCAAGTGCTGTCAGTGAGCTTGGAAGTGGTGGAATGGCAAGAAGCATTCACCATCCTGAGTCTGGTTCTGATCCTGCTTTGGCCACAGCAAATCGCCAGCACAGCCCTGCAAGCCGGCCAGTTATCACGGCATAATCCAGAGGAGCTGCCCAGAATTCAAATCCGTTCGCTGTTGGTTTGACTTTGGGTCTGGCTGTGTTTCATCAGTGTAAATCTGAAACATCCCATTGCCCTGCTCTGCTGAATAAAACTGGTACTTTTTTTTTTTTTCACATTGTCTTAGCTTAGTTGAGTTGCTTAATGTGGTTTGAAAAACATTGTCAAGATGCAGATGTTAATATGAAAAAAATTTCCTTAAGCTGCCTTTATTGTCCAGTGGGAGAAACTTAGGCAGCAGCACAGCGTCCACATGGCTTGGGATGTTTTCTGCGCAGCTGAACTCTTCCTTTTCAAGAGATCTTGGGTTGCAATGCACCTTTCCTGCCCTCAGGACATGCTCATTCATTGCAGCAAAATTACTGTAGTTTTACTTATTGTAAAGGAGAACAAGACGCCTTTCTCTGGGTTTCACTGCTGGCATGCCAGGAGTTTTTAACCCTTTTAGCATTTGCTTTTCAGTGCTATGCAAATATGAGCCACTATGATGCTGCTGGGTTTGTTCCCTGGCTTCCTTAAACGAAATACCGCTTACATACATACCGTGAGGTTGCTATAGAGTTGTGAGAAAGCTCCATGCTTGGGGTGAAAAAAATCATCTCAATGGCAGATGGCGGCAAAATAATTTTTCATTTCACATTGAAGCATCCTAAGTTTTTGGGGGTGCCCTTCAGAGCAGCCTTTCTAATTCCATCCCAGGTTTAGATTTTTTGTTTGTTAGCAGAAGGCAAAAGCTTGATTCTTTCCAATTATTTTTTTTTTAACTCTTAAGCAGCTAAACTTTCCAGTCTCTCTGGGATTTCAGTTTAAAAAGGTGCGAGTCAAAGAATAGGGTTTCCTTCTCCAAATACTGCTGGGCTTGTTTGTTTATTCTCTGTATTAATCTTCCATGAGTTTCTATGTGCTAATTCTGAGGAGTCTTTGGCCAGATTCCAGGATTAGTTACAGAAAGAATAAAACCTGGAATAAATCTTTAAATTTGTGGTGTTCCTACAGTTAAGCACAGTATTCCTGAGATTTAAATCTGGCTCCAGTTGAAATACCAGCTACAAATTTGTACAAGAAGAAGTGGGAATTTCACTTTATCCTAGGAAATGTTGGATTTTTATGTGCCTCAAGCTGAAAGAGAAATAGCGTGTGGGTTGCAGGGGGAAAAAAAGATAGACTAACATTTGAAACAAGCAATTAATTAACTTAGATGTTCCGCCCTGTGTGTGTTAGTGGTCAGCCGACGTTGCATTGCTCGACAAAAAGCTCTTCTGACCAGATACTGTCTAGTGAAACAGATGATTGAAACGACAGGAACATGTTCCAAAGTAATAAATTATTTTTCCTTTTGTTTTTTAGTGGGTTGTGAGTCCAGTTTTAACCAAACTCTGGTTTGGCAAGAAGGTCTTTTTTAGAAAGTATAAGAAAAAAAGAATTCCGTCATTACCCAAATGGTGAAATGAGCAGAGTGTAAGCACAATCACTTGGTTTCATTTCTGTGAAAAAGAAGATTTTTTTAAACAGCAGGGTCTTTTGTTATGTGTTTGTCCATTGTATTCACACATCGCAGCACAAAATGATCTCCCTCCAAGGGAAATTACCTAGAAACTAAGCAAAATGAGAGTCGCCCCTCTGTTTTCACTTCCAAATTGAGAATGATGCACACAGAGCGTAGATATTAAAATCTTTTCACTCTTAGTAATCCCAGGTCACTGGTGACACAGAAGAAAATTTTCCTTTTTGCTTTGGGAGCCTCACGCAGATGCTGGTTTCTCCTGAGTTACTCCCATTCTTCGCAGGTATAGTCGGAGCCTTGAAATTAACTTGTCGGCGCAAAGGCTGCTACGTGCCAAGCGATGTGATTTGCAATTGCAATTTTGCAAACAGCGATATATATGCTGTCTTTTGGGCTTGTAATTACCTGCAAGCAACAAAAGTGTATCCTGGAAAGTAGAAGCCGTGGAAAAGTCTGTTACCAGCATCGGACCTACGTCTGCAGGAGCTTTATGGGCTCCAACTGATTTGATCTTGACTCAAGGAGGTTATTTGAAATCATAAATGCGTGATACTACTAAGCACAAGTTTCAGGACATCCCGTTAAGATTTCAGAACCCTGTATCCTTACATCTGTGTGAATTTCAGTCCGTTAGATTCTATCTGGCGGCGGTCACCAGGGGTGTTCCCCAGGGATGG